CAGGCACAGAGCAGGATGGAAAAGGTAGAGAGTGGATATGTGGGGGCAAACAGAGAATATCCCCATGTTTCTGGGGAATTAGAGGAGCTTATGTCCTCATGCCCCAGGGCTGAATCTTTGCCTTCCAAACATCACATAAGCTGGAAGCCTGGGACCTTGTCTAGGAGTGCATAGGTCTCCCACCCAGAAACCAGCCCAGATGGGTGGGCTTTTCTGTTCCCACAGTATGATATAATGTGAGAAATGTCCTCGGGGTAGGGCAGAGAAAGGCAAGTGTCTTTTACAATAGCCACCTGACATAACACTCTCTCTCAGCATAAGAGTTCCTTCAACAGAGAACTCTAGTATCATCAAGTGGGACTTCAGACTTTCATTGTTTTATTGTCTGTTCATTTCTGTTCTACTGATCAAATAGAAATAATTTAATCATATCCTGTGCTGGACTGCACTGATTTTTCTCTTTGTCTAATATCTTATTTACATTCTCTGTTAGGTGGATACTGGCGATTACCTCTACTTCACGAAATTCTCTCCTTTCTTAATTTCTCTGAGTCTGTTTCTCTTTTTTCTCCTTCATGTACACCTATTATCAGTCTTCTTTGCTAAAACTATTAAATGGTAAGGTTTCTGCAGCATTTTCTCATTTGCTTCATTTTCTTTCCATTCTATCTTGGTACCCTTATTCCCCTGCATAGCTCTAACTGCCTTTATCTCTCCATCACCGAATCTCTCCAGCATTAGATGGTTCTATATCATGTACACAAATAAATGCCTCACAGGTGCCTCAGATATAGCCCTGCAAAACCTGAGCTCATTATGTTCTCCCCTAATCTTCCTATATTTCCTATTTCAGTTAATGGCACTGTCATTTACTTGGTCACCCAAGCATAAGCTTAAAGTAATTCTAGGCTCTTCTTTCTCCTTAATTTCCATATGCATTCAAACCACAAGTCTTGCCAATTTAATTTCCTAAATGGTTCTCAAAACTATCGTCTCCTCTCTTTTTTCGCAGTAATTGGCTTGCATTAGGGTTGAATCATCGCTCACCTAGCCCATTACAATAGCGTTACCACTGTTCTCTCTCCAAATGCACCCTCTTCAAATCCATGAACCACTACCTCCACCGAGGAATCTACCCACACCCCAGCACAGACTCTCTGTACAACACTTGACCTTCTGACTCTATTTTCGTCTCCTTCCATTTTCCACCTGGCTTTCACCTTAGCACCATTGGTGCTGTTAATGCTGCAAAAACACAACTATGTGTCAGGCCTTCACACGATTATGAGTGTGCTTCCATGCCTTTTCTTCCTGGTAAATTCTTGCTCAAATTTCAGTCCCTACCTTGATGTCACCTTTCCTCTATTACCAGAGCTCATTCTGACCTCCTTTGGACTAATTGTGCCTGTACATTTTTTGTGCCATTTATTGCTTTGTGCTACCATTATTTCTCTCACTCTACAACTTAGTGCCTGACATGGGAATGGCACTGAATTTTCAAATCTGTGGATTCAGTTTGATCAAGAGTTTCAATGTAAGAAATTTTAGATTTATGCCCTAGCTCAATGACCATGGGAAAGTCCTCATTTTACACCTCATTTATGTATTATGCAGGTATGTGGCATGTTAAGATGCTTTTTTGTTATAACAGTGCCCTTGCACTTGGTCTTGTCCAAAACATTTATGGTGACACATTTGGTCCATGCCAAAAGGTCTTTGATATTTGGTCATATTCGGTCCTGTCCAAAATGTCCATAAAGACATTTGGTCATCTACCTAACCCATTGTGCCATTACCAGTTAGGCTAACAAGGCGAGAAAGATTATTATTGATGATATGACCACAACACATTAGACCAATAAAACATGAGAGGTTTTTAATGTATTAATCCTATAAACCAAAGTATAAATAAACTTTATGGGCTATCTGCACTTAAGGATGTTTTCTAAACATGGACATTTTGGACAGGACCAAATATTGAGGACCATTTGATGTGGACCAAATATGCTTATGGATGTTTTTGACAGCAAAAAATTTCAAGGACTTTTTGGCATGGACCGAAGGTTATCATGAATGTGTGGACAATTGTCCATTGTTCTAAAAGTGCATGAAGTTGATTCAATATGGAGCTCCTCACATCTGCTATTTTTCCCTCCAATACATTCTACAAATAAATGTTTCAAAAATTCCAAATTAGAACTTACCATTCTTCTGCCCAAGATCTTTCAATGGAGCTCTATTACCCTTAGGCTGAAATCCAAAATCTTTAACATATTTGTTAGGGCCCAGTGTGATCTCGATCTTGACTGCCATTTTATCTTGTGCCATGCTTCCCTTGGGCACCAGGCTCAGGTACCTTTGCCTCCCCTCAGTTCCACAAATGTGCCCTATTCTTTCCACGTCCTTCACATATGCTGTTCTTTGCCTAGAATGGTCCTTTTCTGCCTGTTCATTTGGAAAACTACCACACAGTCTTTAAATGTCAGCTTCAATGCCCCTTCATCAGGAAGGACTTCCCTGATGTTTTTATACTGAGTAAGGTTCACTGACATCTGATCTTTAGAGCCTCTACAAAAATGTGCAGATTGCACACTTCCAATAGTTCACAGGACACTTTCATGCCAAAGATATAAAGGGGACTTGAATATTTATTATGGCAATTTGCTGGCAGATATTAGTAAAGTGTCTTGGAGAAGGTGAGCTATTTTGGTTACTCTGTTTTATTGAACACTTTTCCTACATACCACTTACCAGAGTTAACTGTATTAGTTAATAATCAATTATTTATAAAATTTAGATTCTCTCTTACTCCAGATTGTACATCCTCTTTGGGAAGAGATTGTCTTGTCTTTTCATCTGCTACTTGGGGACATTCAGCAATACCTGGTGAGTGAAGTGATCGAGAGTTGACTGAACTTTGGCTTTCTTATGGCTGTGTTGGCTGCACCCAGAGTCTTAAGCAAATGTAACTGCTTCTTTCAGCTATACACTCATTGTAGGTTGATGTTTGTTGTTAGATCCACAAGAAAGTGAGTTGATTACTATTTGCTGCTGGGTTTTTTAGTATAAATGATGGAAATAACAAACCACCAACCACTCAAGATGCTTCATAGCATTAACCAATAAAAATCACTGAAAACACATTTTCCAGTTTTAAATGTGCTTTACTTGTAAGCATAGTGTCTGCATTGAGCAGAATTACAGATAAAGTGCTAGTAAGTTTAATAACACGTGCTTTAAATCAGCGTAGTGTACAGCGTTTTAGTAGTTTATTTTCCTATCTATTTTATAGAAAGTCCTCCAATATTGAGGCACGCAGGCCAGTTTCCCCTAGCAACCAGAGCCACCTGAAGGCTTCTTAATGCTCTGCCCATTTTGGCTTCACTTTATTTTGGCCATTAATTTAGTAAAAAAAAATATATGTTATATGTATATGTGTGTGTGTGTGTGTGTGTGTGTGTGTGTGTGTGTGTGTGTGTGTGTATACATATAGGAATACTCAAATGAAACAAAAATACTTTTATCATAATTAGTATTTTCTTGCCTTCAAAAGTGTCTCAACTAGTAGAGCTTTCCTATCAATGATCTAAATTAAAACATCGTCTTATAGTTTAATAGTCCCAGGCAGAATTCTGCATTCTGTTTACATTATAGAAGTATTTTCCAAGCAAAACCCCTACTCGCGCTCTCTCTCTCTCTCTCTCTCTTGTAAAAATAAAAGATTTAATAATACTTTCAAAACTCCTGATGTGTCTAGGGTTGAAGAGATATTATTGGACAAAGGGAAGTTTTGCTGTTGTTCTTCCTACCCCCATTGCTCAAAAGAGCTGTGCATTTACAGGCTGTGATAAAACTCTGGTAGTGAAATCCCTTTCTGGGAGTATCAGTATCTTGAAAGAGAAAGCAGCTCTCTTCTGCTATCAACCATGGATGGAATGACTGTATCAGCCATTATGGAGCTTTGGTGTTGGCATGGATGTGAGCTGTGGGACCCAGTGCAGACATTGTCTGTATCAGGATGTCAGCCAGTCTTAGACAAGGAATCCACTGGGGAAAATCAGGTGCTTTGGTCTCCAGGCATGCTGCCTCCAATATCCAATTAGGAAAGGAAACATCCTCATTCTCCTTCAGGATCTCCACCTCAGTGGCTGAGTCCTGACTCCCCTCCCTCGCTCTTCTTTGCTCTCTTATCTTTTGGCTACTAACCATGGGTTTCTTTCCTGACGGCCTCTATTACGCAGCAGAATCTGACAGCGATCCTTGGACTGGCAGGGTTGTGCAAGAAATCATGATGACTGAATTTCTCCATGGGGGTTCAGATTCATAGAGAAGGCACTATAGTCAGGGATAAGTGACGGCTGCAGGGATTAACGTAAGAGATAAAGACATTGTCACCTACCTGGACCAACACTGAGGCCTGAGTATATGTAGTGTTTTGTTCTCCTGCATGTAATACCACGTAGTCCAAATAATACCTGTAAGGCACAGTCTGCGTGTCATCGTCTCCGAGGAGACTGAAAAGAATTCAGATTAAATCATTAATATTTTATTACCTGTCAATCTAATTAGATCATTTTGCTACTTTATTGGCATGGGTCATTCGAATAAAGCTACGATTTTTCTCCTCACCTGAAAGAAAATGTGTGCTGAGAACTATGCGTACAATAAATTCTAGGCATATTATGAATAATCCAGATGCACACTCACACCAAATAGACACACGCTTCCTTACTACTAAATCTAAACGGCACAGCGGCTCACTGTCTGGGGCCCTGGGAAGACTTCAGAGCCATCCAAGAGAGGCTGCGTGAGGCTCTGAGAAGTTCATGCGAAGGCTGAGCCCGCCGGGCGAGTTGAGGGCGCAGAGCTGCCCGCCCCCGCAACTCGCAGCAGCTAGCTGGTGGGCGGGGCGGGGCGCGGCCTGGGGCGGGACGGGACCAGCGCGCGAGCAGAGCTCCTAGTCCTCGCGCTGCTTGCGCCTGCCAGGTCCTCACCGAGTCCCGCCTAGCTGAGCGCCGCCAGTCCTAGGAGCCGCGCTCTGAGCGGCCGGGAAGGCGCTAGGCTGAAAGGACTTCACCAGAGCACGGGGCGCGGGTCTGAAAGCCCGCCAGGACTGCGGGTTCTCGGCGACCCCGCGGTCTGAGCCGGACCCAGGAACGCGCGATTCAGCTCTGGCCAGGGCGCCGTCTGGACCTCTCCTCTCGTCTCCAGGAGCCAGAGGTGAGCTTTGGGCTTTCGAGGTGCAGTCCTTGGAAACGAGGGCTCTGTTCTGTGTTCGAGGTCTCTTGTTCCTGGAGGCTCCGAGCAGCAGTCGGGGGACAGTTCTACCAGGGCCATGCCTAGGAAATGGAGAGAGCATCTCAGGAGCCGGGGATCGGGGGTGGGAGGTGGAGGGTGGGGAGAAGAGTTAGCGCCCACCTGCCACCCAGCCGCGCGTCTTTTGGCCAGGATGGCAGCTAGCGGTCCTTTTCCCGCTCCCGCTTCCGGGGACATAGAGCCGGGGTGGGCTGAGCATAAGGACCCTGGGCCTCCAGCGCCGCGGGCCTCCGCTTACTGTCCAGGGCGCTGGCGAAGTTTGCCTCTCTGGGTCCAGCTGATTCTCTCGCTCCCTCAGCCCCACCGGTACCGCTTCTCCTGGCCCTCCAGCCGCAGCCACCCGACCATGGAGTCCCCGGTCCAGATCTTCCGCGGAGAGCCGGGCCCTACCTGCGCCCCCAGCACCTGCCTGCTCCCCAATGGCAGCCGCTGGTTCCCGAGCTGGGCCGAGCCGGACAGCAACAACAGCGCGGGCTCGGAGGACGCGCCGCTGGAACCCGCGCACATCTCCCCGGTCATCCCGGTCATCATCACGGCAGTCTACTCCGTGGTGTTCGTCGTGGGCTTGGTGGGGAACTCCCTGGTCATGTTCGTGATCATCCGGTGAGCGCAGGGTCCGGGAGCCGCAGTAGCTGGAACCGGGAGGGAGGGTCGGGGCCCGCCATCAAGGACGGTGGTGGAGAATCTTTTCCGTCTGTGCAGAACTCCGGAGATTCTCAGAGGATAGCCTCTTAGAGGAAGTGAAATATTTCCCGAGAGAGCTTTTGGTGGGGAACTGCTAGGTTCACACAGGACGAATCTCAACGGCCAGAGGCTCTTGAGGGTATAAGAGTTACCAGGGAGGGTCGGGGCCCGCCATCAAGGACGGTGGTGGAGAATCTTTTCCGTCTGTGCAGAACTCCGGAGATTCTCAGAGGATAGCCTCTTAGAGGAAGTGAAATATTTCCCGAGAGAGCTTTTGGTGGGGAACTGCTAGGTTCACACAGGACGAATCTCAACGGCCAGAGGCTCTTGAGGGTATAAGAGTTCCCCCCCTCCCCACCCCCGCCACACACACACACTCACCCTCGCCCCTCCTGAAAACTCTGTGAAAAAGGGTAAGTACTAAGGTGTGGAATGAGGTCAGTGTCCTTGGAAAGAAAATTAGTCTATTTGTCTGGCCTTTGGTTTGGTTGCCTGCTCCAGTTTGGAGCACTTTGTGTTGATCCTTTGCAAATATTTCTTAAGGTAAAATTCAGGCCCACGGAATGCACTCAATGTAATTCAGAATTTCCTGTGATTCATCAGATTGGTATTCTTTATGAAGCAAAATCCAATATACTATTTAGGGTTATTGGTATCCATCCATACATGAGCCTTTTTAGTAATAAAATGACATTCTATTTGTTTAGAATATCAGTGACTTTTATAAATAAGCCGTCTCGTATTTATCCTCTGAAGTATATGGGTTGTGGAGGTTTTCAAAAATATCCTAGCTTTTTATTTTCCACCGTGAGAAATTGAAGGCTTTATTTTATTATTCGTTTGTGGAAGTACATGGAAGTCAACTTTCAATAAGAAATATCCAAATATCCACATATATGCTAATTTTTTGGTATGTGAAGGGATTCTTATTTTAGCCTCTTTCAACAAAGATAAAAAAAGAAAAAAAATCCCAACTTTGTTATGGATTAC